ATCACCTCTCCACTGGGATTGGCCCAGGGATGAAGATTAACCAATTAGAGAAGGATGTGTTCATTAACTGAACCAATAAGAATTCTGATTGTCGCTGGCTGAATAACCAGGAAGGTGCTTTCTTCTTTTTCTTAAGTGTCCTGTGGAGACAAACTTGAAGTTCAAGTGTTAGTATTGCTCCCCTGATGAGGAAATTGAGACTTATACCCAGAGTGGGTTGAAGAGATGGAGTTGCTGTTATTGTTGTGTAGGATTTTGAACTTCTATCTCACCTACTTTGCACACGTGACCAGGAGGGACTGATCCTTGGAGAAGGACATCATGCTCAGAAGGGTGGGAGGACAGTGCAGGAGAGGAAGACTCCGATGAGATGGACTGATAAAGTAACTGGGCTAACGGGTAGATGTGGGGCTTTCAGAGGCAGTAAGTCATAGAAGAGGAGATTGTCTTTCTGTCTCCCTTGAAGCAACTGGAGGATTTGAACTGTGTACCTTTGCAATGGCAGTGCAGTTCCTTACCACTAAGCCACCAAAGTCAGGGTTCATTCAAACAATTCTTATTTGGCACACTGTGATTATTTAGCCTCTGAGAGGAGGAGTGAGAGAGAGAGTTCGAGGTGGTGAGAGACAGACAGACAGACAGACAGACACGGCTACAGTGTTCCCTTTGAGCTCTTCCTAGATGGTTCTTGAGGATGTTATTTTCCTGCTTGGATCAATCCAAATCTGAAAGTCAGAACTATCACTTGGCTTTTGATGTCTACAAATCAGAATACTTGCCCTACATATTACTTCTGCTAAATTCGGATCATAAATCTCTTAATATGTTTCACTTAAGAAGCCAATAAATGTTATTTATAAGCCATTTGCAAAATCTCCTTATCAGCCTATTCAGTTAGAAGATGTTAAGAGTTCACTCTCTTTAGATGACAAGTGACAGAAACCATCTTAGATTACGGTAAGAAGCTAATTAGTGTTTAACTTAAAAATGTCTTTAAAAAACAAGTATCTGAATATCAAAAAACAAGTGTTTAATGGAAGTTAATATATGCAATTTGAGAATCCGTGTTAGTTTATATTAATAAATATTTGTACTGACAAAGCTTTGCATGCAGGCTGTTACAGTTAGGAATGCATGAAAATTGTACATTTTAAGAAAGATAGTAAAGTTCTACAGATATTTCTTGAAAATTCACAATGTGTGGGCAATAATTCATAATGTGCTTTTCATTAATAGTTCTTTAGGCTGATCTGCTTCTTTAGATTTAATTTATCTACTCGGTCAACCATATAACATTTAATGTGTAGCTACTATGTGCTGGGCACTGGGGCTGAGGGATCAAAACACAAAACTCTTTCCACATATAAGAAGCCAAGCCAGCAGCCCAGACTATACTTTAGTTCTTTATGCCTGAGGCGTAAAAATAATTTACTTTTAGTGGCAAGACACTGCACTGCAATCCCAGAGGTATGCGGTTCAAATCCACCAGATGCTCTGCTGAAGAAGGAGGGGGCAATCTCCTCCTGTGCCAGTCAGATCTGATTTGACGGTGCACATAAAAAACAATACAATAAAAATAAAGAAAAGAAAAATAAAAAATAATAATTTACTTTACAGGGATAATCATACACTCACAAACTCAAACTCAAGCACCCTTCACCACTCTTAAGTTGAACTGACTCATAGCTGAGGCTCCAGTGGGTTTCACAGGTTAAATATCACACGGCGAACATTGCCCATCTTTCTCCCACAGAAATGCTGGTGGATCCAGCCATGAGAGGGGCACGGCCTTTGGGTTAACACTACAACCCAGTAGGGAACAAACCAACAGAGCTCCTTTGATAATCCCAGAAGCTTTGCCGGAATTTTTACATAGGATTTGAAGCTTAATCCCTGTCAAAGGCTAAAATGACTATGAAAAGCTACTAGTAAACCATATGAGAAATAGTTTTAAGATACTGTCTAAATTATATCTGAGTGTACTTGACAAATTATTTTAATACCAAATTTAAAAATTAGCCTAAGTCTGTATTCTACAGCATCTTGAAATGACTAGGGATTTCATTTGTCTGTATGAATTTACCACCAAATCTAGGTGCCCTATCCACTTCCGAAATAGCTTGCCTCAGGAGACGCGATGAACATAGAGAAACGATGAAAGTTAGGCATGTGTTCAGGACTTTCATTCATAGGGTCACTATGACTCGTCCACTACTCGACGGCACTTAACAACAACAACAACAACAACAACATCCATAGTAAAACTGATCGATCAATACACAGACTCCACGTGGGTTGCAGCCACACGAGAACATTACTTTTGGGAGGATTTTATTTAACTGCTGAATCCCAGTCAGATTATGTGTAGTATCATTAGCTCCCGAGTTCTATCTTTGGTCAACTTATCTAGTGCCTATACACTGAGTAAAATAAAAACAGATAGTGCTATTAAATCACAAATATTCTAATAATACCTTTGAATGAGAGGAATGTGCATGGGGCAGGCTGTGCCTGTGCCTGGATGCTGCTGTTATCATCAGTTGCCTCTGAGTATATTCTAATTCCTGGTGACCCCTGCGTGCATAGAAAATTGCTCCGAGAGTGTTCTTGGCTGTGATGTTTCTGAAGTCCCCAAGCCTGTTTCCTGAGGCATCTGTGGGTGGGTCTGAATCGTCATTCTTGTTTAATAGTTGAGTATTTAATAATCTATGCCATTGAGGGATTCCTGTGTGATTTTGGGGTTGTTTGCTTTCTCTGTCACATTGCTATGATGTTGGGACTGACACACCCTTCAGTGGGGTTCTGAGGCAGTAAATCAAATGGGAAGGTGGGAAGAGTTTGGCCATCTCCTTCACAAGGGCTTCTGGCGGATTTGAACAGCCAGACAGCTATGGCCTTTGGGGTAGCAGTGTGACTCCCTAGGGACTACACTACCACAGCTCCCTCGGCAATGTTTGGGAATCTCTTTATTTCTTAGACTCTAAATTTGGGATGCTAATAACTTTCAAATTATGGTATTCTTGTGATAAGAATGAATACATCAAGAGTGCTTGGAACAGTGACAAGCACGTGCCCAGTGTTGGCCACCACCACCATAATTATTACTGTTATCAGGTGCAAATTAGCATCTATGTTGGGTATTTATATGCTATTTCTAAATTATGGAAGCGTTCTTGCTTCTTTTAAAACTGTTATTTCATTCATTGTGCATTATCATGACATTTTCCTTGATTTATAATCAGTGTCTTCCTTTGCCATAACAATCCACATAAGTTCTTCACTGATTCCACCATAATGTCACACTGTTTTTTACATTCATAATCTCCTGGTATGTAATCACATTAATTATTAAGTCAGAGGAAAGAGGCAGATAAACTTGTTTGCATATATTTTTGCAATCAGAATTTCTGACTGGTGCTGTGCTTTGAATATATAAATAATGATGTATATTTAAACCTTACTAATTCTAAATTATTATTGAGAAGGGCAAGTGTATTTAGTGAGAAGTTCAAAATACAGTGTATTTTCAGTTCTAGAGAATTCATTTGGGCTTGGAAATGCTTGCTCTAATTGTATTCATGTGTTTTGACTGAATGAGCATTTGGGCCACGTTTCTCTAAACATTACTTAAAGATAAGGTTTAATTGTCACATTAATTTGTTGTTTGCAAATGCATGCTCTAATCTGTGGTTCATGGGGTGTCGATGTGTAGCAGTCTGTTTCACGTCACCTAACAACCACCACCACCTTATGAGCTACTCTAAAATGTGGGGATATATGTAAAGCACCTGGTACTCGCAACATTTTTGGAACATTTGCTATAAGCTATGATCCTGACAATAGGTGAACTGAGAAATACAAAACAGTGGCAAGTGACATCCATACAAAAGCTGGAGTGGCAGTACTAATCTCTGATAAAATAGACTTCAGGATGAAAACCACAATAAAAGATAAAGAAGTCAGTATACAAGGATTAAAATCACAATAGATCACGGAGACATAGCCTTAGTTAATATATACTTACTTAAAGGCAGACATGCAAATATATAAAAGTCTTAACAGAACTGAAGAAGGAAAAAAACACACTCCACCACAATAGTAGTAGAAGTCTTCAATACACCACTCTCACCAAAAGGGTCAACTCAAAAAAGATGCAGAACAGAATTATAAAGTCAGCTAAATTAGACTCACAGATGTATTCCGGGAACTCCACCTAACAAAAACTCAATTCACTTTCGTTTTTTGGACAAAATAATATATGCTTCAGAAGGGACCACATACTAAGACACAAAGGTAGGCTCCACAAATGGGAAATAAAAACACAAACGAAAAAATCCAACCATATTGAAATAATGTATTCTCTTAGATCATAATCTTATAGGCTAAAAATTACCAAGAGGATAAAGGAAAAAAGGACACTCACATGGAAGCTAAACAATACCCTGCTTGAGAGTGATGGGTGAAATGTAAAAATTCCTCAAAATAAATGAAAATTAAAATACTGTATAAAAAATTTTAGAATAGAACAAAGGCAGTCCTCAAGGGTCAGTTCATAGCAATAAGAAAATAAATACACTAAAAAAAGAAGGGATAAGATAAATTACTTAAACCTCTAGCAAATAGAGAATAACAAGCTAATCCCACAGCTTCACAGAATGAAGCACATTTTAAGGTGAAGGGTTGAAATCAATGGGATAAAAAAAGAAAAACAAGTCAAACCATCAACAAAACTAGGAGCTGGTTTTCTTCAAAAGGCTTAATAAAATATGCAAACCATTGACAAATTTAGCAAGGACCCCTAAAAACCACATCTGGGAACATTTATCATGGGGTTCATGAAAAAGGGCACCACAGAAACAAAGACAGGTATGTGAGATTTGGGGACCAGATTTCTATCAATCAGTGGCATTAATGACTTTGGTCATTCATAATGATGAAGGTGGCTATGATTATGAAGGCGAAATTCTTGCTTGCCATTTGTGAAGTGGAACTGTACATACGCGTTTTCTTGGTGGTTGCATTAACGGTGGCGCTGAAGGGGCCGGTCCCCGCGCTGTTGTAAGCCCGGACAGCTGTGTAATAGGCCAGGTTGCTCCTTAGCCCTCGGAGTCTGGCAGAAGTCTCGTTTCCTGACACCTTCACTTTGCTGGATGATGATTCTTCTCCTCCATTGTTATTCCAGTACCGCACCTGGGGGACAAAGGACAGAAAACATGTAGTCTCGATAGAATGTCCTTTGCCTTAAGTAAGCCAGTTGAATTAGGCACATTGATTTTCTCATTGACTCAGCAAATGTTTAATGAGGATGTGGACAGCAAAAGATGGAAACAGGAGACCATTTCCCTGCTGTAAGTTCACAGGTACTGCAAAAAAATGGCAGTGGACCCTCAGACATGGAGGCAAGGAGCACTAGTGGTGACTTGGGCTGGACAGCAAGTTTCCATGTCATTAACGGTGCTAAGAGGTGCAGTGATTAGTCACTTGCCTGTTACTAAAAGCTTAACGCTTCAGCAGTTTGAGCTCACCTAGAGGTGCCTCAGAAAGCAGCCTGTATAGTGAATAGAGCAGAGGAAAGTCAGAAGTAGGACTTCAAGAGATTGCCAATAATAAGTTAGCAAACATATGAGCCAGAAAAATGAAAGATGAAACGCTATCAGATTGAAGTGGGAGGAGTCGTGTGAAACCTGGATGTCGGTAGGAGTGAGTTCAGCATCAACCCCGCCCAAGCTCGACTCCATCAGAGAAGAGCAGCTCCTTCTGGGGAGAAGGGGAACTGAGAAAAGACCCTCACAGGGCCAGCTGGCTAGTCAAGGTCCCACAGAGAAGGTGAGGAGCCTCCAAGCCCACCTGTGCATGCAGGGCTACCGAAGAGCAAGGGAGAGCAAGGGTACATGGCTGTTAAATATAAAAATATACCCACACGCCTTATGCATATTTCACTATTCAGATCCACGCAAAAGCATATTTAATGCCTTATGAAAAAGACACATGTGACCCAAAAGAATTCAACAGGAATATCTGAGAGAAAGAGGAGTAATAGTAAATGAAAATACATGCTACTTAGCGATTTTAAATTTAGGTTAAGGATTTGTCTCACAATGTCATTGTTGTTACTGTTGTTATGTGCCGTCGAGGCGTTTGCGACTCATAGCGACCCTATGTACAACAGCCCTAAACTCTGTTCTGTCCTGTGCCAATCGAACCGTCTCCGATACACCCACCTCCATTGCCCCAGTCTCTGAATCAATCCACCTCATAGAGGGCCTTCCCCTCTTGTGCTGTCTCTCTCCAAGGACCGGTCAGTCCCTCCTTGCAACATGTCTAAAGTAAGTTAGTAGATGAAGCCTCAGAATCCTTGCCTTCAAGGAGCCACCTGGTTTGACCCTCTCCAGGATGAATCTGTTTGTTTTCCTAGCAGTCCATGGTACATTCAATACTCTTCTTCAGCACCAAAGCTCAAAGGCATCAATTCTCCTTCTATCCTCCTTGCCATTAGATTGCCGAAAAGACAACTTGACCAGCAAAAAGCAAAGCAAATGGCCCATACACCCATACACCAGAGTTGGTGCTGAAACAATCTGGTCATTTGAAGCAAGGGAGAGACACATTCAGCGTGGACCCAGCACACACGATGTGGTTCCATGTTAATAGTGGTGCTACCGACCTAGCTCTGTCCCTGGCTTGTGCAAAAATTAACGATGATGCTAACAGAAAGGTTGATGGTTCAAGTCTACCCGAAGGGGTCTGTGATGAAGACCAAGTAATCCACCCCAAAATACCAGCCAATAAAACCCCTCAGGAGCACCATTCTATTCCAACACTTGAGGTCACCATGAATGAGGTGGACGTGCCTCTCAGGCTACTGGCCTTTCACTAGTCCTGCACGTCAAGTGTTTACATGTACAGTTTTAGGTTTCTTGTTCCTTTTTTAAAGAAAAAAAATACACCTTTACATGAAATATCTCAAATTTAGGGTTTGCTCAAATTTTAACACAGCTTGTGAGGGCTAGCCAACATGTATTTGTGGGATGTGTAGGTTACTAGTCTGAATTCTCTGAGCAAAAGACACTACAAATTACTGCCTTTTAAAAATGAGTTACTGTAAAACTCTCTCAAGTACCAAAAAAAAAAAAGGAACTAGTATAGTAGAAACATCAGGTTCCTTCAGTAGCAATCTCAAAGTAGCAAGCTAATTTGTGTAAGATCGATATTTCCCATATTTAGATATATGTCTACACATATTCCTTTACAGGTTCTCAAAAGCATTCTATTTATATATCATGTATCTACAGTTTTATTAGTTTTTATTAGTTTTTGTCTGGGTCTCAAAAGAAAGATATAAACCCCATATTACTAAAACAGATTGAACACTAGTTTCTATAGCTTTAAAACACCAAAGTAAACATAAAATTTAATGGTATTTTAGTAACAGAAAATACACAGAGATTTGACAGATTCCACTATCATTATAAAAGACCACATTGGCTTTCTTCATTAATTAAGGAAAATGTTTAGATTTGTCTTTTAAAATGCCATGACTAAGTGAACAGTTAAAAGATGTTCAAAGTTCATGTGTACTTTAAATACGGAATGTTTAAGCACAGTCGATATTGTTATGTCAAAATAAAACACTTTTTCTGTTGTTAGTGTCATTATCTATCTAGTAATTAAGGAAAAAACACAACATTAATAGGTACTTAAGACAAAATGAAACAAAAAGCTTTAGAACTTGTCTTCTGGGCATATATCATAAATTTTGAGGAAATGTCATAAATATGAGCTAAAATGATCTTCATATAAAATACAAGATAGAGGTATGGAGAGGGCAAGTCATGCAGTCAAAATAATCTATACTGATCTCTGGTCTGATTCCAATCTATAGACTGTTCCATCTACCCCCAGTATATCAAATTACCTCAGTATAAGCTGTCCTGAGAAAGTATTCTTAGAAAACAAAAATAACAAAACAACTATGACATATCATCTAACCCCAGTAAGACTAGCAAAATTTAACAGAGCAGCAAACAACAAATGTTGATGAGGTTGTGGAGAAACTGGAACCCGTATTCATTGTTGGTGGGAATGTAAAATGGTGCAACCACTATGGAAGGCAATATGGAGTTTTCTAAAAAAAAAAAAAATACAATTTGACCCAGCAATTCCACTACTGGAAATATACCCTAAAGAAACCAAGACTGCCACCCAAGCAGATAGATGCACACTAATGTTTATTGCTGCTTTGTTCACAATAGCAAAAAATTGGAAGCAACCCAAGTGGCTATCAACAAACCAATGGCTAGAGAAGCTCTGGTATATTCACACAATGGAATATTATGCAGCACTGAGAAAGAAGTCATGAAATAATATACAAAATGGGTGACCATTGAGGACATTATGCTGAGTGAAACATCTCAGTCACAAAAAGACAAATACTGCATAGAGCCACTGTTATAGAATAGGACTGATATGGAGGTTGGGGAAAACTAAGAAAGGAGGGGATAAATAACGTACACAGCATTGAAACAGATGAAGGAGAGAACTGTATAAAAGTAATATATGGAAAAAAAAGTAATTATTAGTATGACAAGAGTCCAGAATAAGAGTTGCATAGTAAGATGGTCCAGGGTGTGTGTGAGTGTGGGGGGGGGGGAATGGCGAGAGGGAAACTGTATAACAATGAAAGAACTTTTCTCCAAAGAAAAAAATGAACTGTGGGGAGAGGGGACAGGGAGGAAAATGTGCAACAATGAATGCATGGAAATCCAAGTTCTTTATAAAACTTTCATGAAAATAAAAAAAAAAGACATTTAATTGGTATAGGCAATATCTTTTATAATTCCTTTTAGTAAAAGAATCTGAAAGCTTATTGACAGCAACATGTTTCTGACATATTATAACCAATCTTTATCCAGATGAAATGTCTTTTTTTAGATTCAATCTAAACAGTTCAAATACAGGCTCAAAGAACATGTATGCCAAATTTGAACATGGCATCCAATGACTAAAAGTGATCATATTATTAAATAGCTTTATTTCTTTAAAAAATAAAATAATTTTTAAAAACTAAAGTAGTGGTGCTTAAAATTATTTTTATAAGGGCAAATCTAGAAGCGATCTGCTTATCCCTAAAACAAATATTCCTGCTGTAACGGGTCTTCAACACTAACATCATCACATCAGAAACTGCACTTTAACTTAAAATGAAAGGTAGCTGTAAAAGTCATGCATTGAAAAGTGCCACCTTTTTACAATCCATTAAGCACAGGTGTTAAGGCAGACATATTATTTTAATAAGCCAAAATTATTATTGTATACATAAAAATTTTTCTGAGACACAAATAGCTCAACATTTAAATAGTTTACAGGCCAGCAAAACTGCATTCAAAGGTCAGGAAGAAGAGCCCTCTTCTCTCCTCTGCCCTCTGTTCCAGTCCTGGGAGGGCTGATTCTGTGTTAACTACGACTTGGATTCACTTGCCCTCATGGCTGTCTGCGCAGTTTAGCAAGTTACAGGCAGGACATGGGAAGTTGAGAGGAAGGAAGGCTGATCCCTTCAGTACCCCAAGGCTCTCCAAGGGGCTCTCGCTGCCCTGTGGTTAAGGCACAACTGCTAACCAGAAGACTGGCAGACTGAAGCTCCCAGCTTCTCCATGAGAGAAAAATGAAGCAGGCTACTCCTTGAAGGATTTCCCACTTTGGAAAACCCAGGGGCCCATTCTGCTCTGTCTTGCTGGATGGCCACATGTCAAAACTGACTCAGTCCAATGGGATTTTGTTTTGTACAAACATAACAAATTAATTCAAACTCATTGTCATCAGGTTGATCCCACCTCCTAATGGCTGCCCATTGGTTCCTGCGGCTGTAAAATGCTAATGAGAGGAGAATGCCCATCATTCTCTCACAGAATGGTCACAGCCGCTCAGCCTCATGGATGGCAGCACAGTAGCCTATGAGCTAGGCCACTTGGTTAATCAGTCCTGAGCCATAGTTTAAAAGAGACTAGATGATGCCTCAACAGCAAGAAAATAAAACTCCTCCCTGGAACAATAAACATCATGATAGGCAAAGCAAAGGCTGAAGCTATCAAGGATTTTACTTGGATCTACAGTCAACACATGAAAGGAACTGTTAATAAGTCAAAAGGTATGTTGCACTGGGAAACTCTACTGTCAAGGACCGCTCTCACGTG